TTAATGTTAAAGTGAAAGCCAGGGTACAGTGTATGCTAAAGGTTTGGGAACCCAGAAAAGGTTGTTGTTTTTGAAAAAAACACTAGTCTTCAGGAAAAGACTGCAATTTCATACTTTTCCTTCTCATATTTTTTCTTTCAGTAACATTTGGCTTGATTTACACAGCAGTACACAGTTACAATAGATTTATTCCAATATCTCTTTTTTTTTGCTGGAGCATTGCCAGGACTCTGGTTGATATATGGTTTGCTTCCACCCAATGCTAGGCTTCTCCTGGCTTCACCCACAGCCACCAATATTGTGCTCAGCAGTATTGCAACCTTACATTTTACATTATTTATACTGTGGCAAACAAGGCCCAACCAGAATCAAGACTGCTACTGTACTACAAGTTTTTCAATATCTGGGTACCTTTGTGGGCAGATTTTACTTATATACCTTTTGTCTGGAGAATACAATACAAAATTATCTTGCTTGCTTGATTTTATTAAATCACTTTGATTTATCATTTTATTTTACCCATAGCCCTTCTTTACTACTAGACAATATTTAGGTACCAGAAAAATGATATATTAGTAAAAAAAATCTCACTTGAATGGGAAGAAATTCAAATATATAGAAACCCTTCTCTTGTCCCCCCAAGACCTATAACAGAATAGTGAAGGCTCACTTACCATGAGTACCCCAAAATGTGTAAGATGATTGCATAAGCAAACTGTCTCATTCTCATTTGATTTTTGTGCAATGCAGCCTGTAGCATTCCAACCGCCTTGACCATCTACAGGAATCAAACAATAGAAACCACAACTTCAGGCAAAATCAAAAAAGACATAGCACAATGTCTTTTCCAGATATCCAGGATCTCTACATGTATTATAGTATTCTTTCAAGTGGAAAAAGCCTTGAAATAAAGCAAATCCAATAATACAAAATATATCAACCTAGGATTGTGCTAATCAAGTACTCTGCAAGGTGGATGGAGTGGTGGATGGAGTAGAAGCTATTACATCAAATTCTGTGGTCTGTGTTATATGGCAGGCCAGGCTGGATGAACATAACAATTCTTTTGGCTTTAAAACTTAATAAAGTGTGAAAGAAATGGTGCCAACTCAGATCTAAACCAAATCCACTAAAATTTCTACTAGATCTCCCACTCCTGCCACATCAAAATTAAGAATCTTCAAATGAATCTTCAGTTAGGCTCTGGAGCGGCGAGAGACACACGGGTGAAAGCCTGCTGTGCCCCTGCTCCCCCGAAGCCCCCCAGAGACCCCCCAGCAGCCGCGGAGCCCCCCACCGACCCCAGCACAGCTGGAGGCAAGTGGGGCCTGTGGTGGGAGGGGGTTAACCCCTTAGTGAGAGGGAGGAGGCAGCTGAGTGGAGCCGGGCTGGATCCCGCCCTGCCCCGCTCAGGCCCCTACTTGGCCCAGCCCCCAGGGAGCCACATGACCGGAGCCACGCGAACAGGCTGCAGAAACAGGTGCGCTTGTCTACCGGTGCATGAGTTAGCACAGAGTTCACGCAGGAGGGTGCGTGGAAGGGCCCGAGACCCTGCCTGCAAATCCCCCAGGGTAGACAGTCCCAGCCATAGCCAGCCTACCAGAGGCATGACATGGATGGGCACACGCCACACCCTGAGGGTCCCCTCGGGCTCTGTGGCCCCCCCCAGCACCTCAGAGATGGCCACCCAGACGGAGCCCATGGTTCCGGGCTCCACGCA